GTTGCCTCCCTACATTGGCTAAGTTTTGGTGGCCTGTTTGTTATAATACAAAATCCGTTTTTTAAGACCATCAATTACTATAGATACATATTATTTAAGGATAAAAAGTAAAATAGATATTTATTAAAAGGATATAGAGTTTAAGAATTAGTTGTTAATTGCGACCAATTTCTATTTTGTAATTTGTAAACTCGACAGTATCTAAATACATTAAATTATAGTGTCTTTACAAGTGACAACAGGTAATGATCTTTTGTTGAAATTTATAGTTACTATAATTTTTGTGATACCTTTATTATATTTACAATATAATATAAAATGTTGTTGTTGCTTGCGGATTCCATTTTAAATTGTTTTCTTGATGATTTGATTTGAGACCTGTTATAATCCTACAATTAGACATTTGCTTACTCTGCTTCTTTCATTTTCCATCTGTTTTCTTTTACTATGGATACAGATAGAGAACCAACTTCATCTTGTGCTCTAAGAACTCATGGCGTCCAAGGAGTAGTGTGAACAATGGTTTAAAGAAAGCAATGAAAACAAAATAATAAGTATAATTCCGAAAAATGTACAGCTAAAATGTGAAATGGTGAAATTGCATAGAGACAATACAGATGTCTTAAAAGTAAGGAATCAGCTGAAGGCGACAGTCGATGAGTATAAAAATGAGTAGAAAAGATATGAGGAAGCTCTCAAATAAAATAATTGCTGTGTTGCAGTTAAAGCTAACTGAAGCTAATGAGCTGATTTTGCAATTTAAACAATACATAGATAACTTGCAAGCATCCCGAACTGAGACTGTTCGAAGACCTCGTAGAATACAAATCTATAAGATTGCAAGCCTCCACCACAATAAATTTGACTACACGTCACATCAAGAGTAGCAGAAAGGAACATAAGGAGACAGAAGAACAGTAGAAGGAAATTAAATAAATATATAAGAAATAATAAATATATTAGAAAAATGCAAAAATTTATTAAAACCAAAATTAATACTAAAACTTATATAGGTAAATGTATTTAAGGAAAATCAAGAGTTAATTGACAAAGGAGAATGCCAGAATCTTTATAGAACATTGCCCCACCTAAAATTGCGGTGTACACGATTGCCGTATGCGTAATTTGTTTGCTGTTTTATTACTATATGCAAATAAAATAAGCCAAGGTTATTAGAAATGGCATTTTTTTTTAAATTGAACTTTTATAATTACATTAACCTTATGTTTTATAAAAACATTCGTTGCAGTTTATTGTAATTGCAATTTACAAATTGTACAGACGCTAATAAAATATGTAAATAAGGATTTTAGGAGCCGTAATTAACTTGCGTTTGGTTTGGATAAAACAATTCTATGATCACTAATATTTAAGGTGTTCTCCTGTTTTGAAGCCAGAAGATCCTAACACTATAAGATAACCACTACATTTTCACTGGTTTAGGGACATACAAATAGGATGAATACTTAATGTAAATATTACTCTGGTATGACTCTTTTCAGCTTACAAGTCCATCTGGGGAGGTACGACTTTCCCATTTCAGTCGACAAGCTGCAGTGCTTGTACTGCTGTGTTGCGCTCTGAAGGGTATAGAGAGAGTCAGTATAATGTGAGGTATTCCATCTTAGATGAAAACGTATCTGTAGCCTTCTTTATTTGAAGTTCGGTATAGGTGCCGAAGTGTGTCACTTACCGTCAGATATGCTATGATATTGTTTGTCATTTCAGTTTTCGGTAGTGTATTGTTTGGCATAATATTATTTTACTTTAATATTGGTTAATTATATTAAAATTTAATTATAATATCAGTTTACTTTCGTAGAGATCGTACCAGCTACCATTTCTCAACATAAACTTTGTATGGAGATCTGGCATATTTAAGAACGTAAATTCACTATCGCCATTTTTGGCATTTGCTTCTTTTTACTTTTACAACATTGTACACAGAACATGAATATGCGTTCATGCTAATATCAGTGGTGGGTTTGACTATTGCTGGTAGGTCTGCAAAGAAATAAGAACACACAAATTATATTTTAATTTAACAGCTGGGTCGATTTTCGGATGAGGGATTTTCCTATTAATTCACTATTTTTTAAGAGCTTCCTCTGGTAGTTCTTCTTCTTGTTACTATTAGCTTCTATATTATATTGTTTCCATCTAGTTTCTGTATTGTAGCGGATCCTCTTTGGAACGCAAAATGCCCGTGTTTTAATCTCGTGGAACCCAATTACCCCACGCCCGTATATCACCCCTCTGTTTTATTACTTTATTAAATAAATTAAAATACTATTGTTTAGATTATTTAATACTTTATCAAAAACTATGAGCTTGTATTGATTGTGGTTCTTCAACAGAGCGTTGTCAACTTTAAGCAATTCAAACAAAGTCAATTTTAAGCAATGTAGATGAGTATCACGCAGCCGGTACTGATGGAATTCAAATGAATATCTTGATAACACCTGCAAGAAATATACCTTTTGAAAATTAAAAGAGAATTGATATTTTCCTTTTTTTGATTTATCAATTGAAAATGATATTTTAAAAATCGTAGTATGTTAAATAGTGGCTAAGTTTTGAAGATTCTCGCACAAAATATACACATATTTTATAAACAGACGTTAGAACATACTTTATAAAAGTAAATCCAAGTCAAGTAAATGTGTTTGTTATATTGTTTATAGTCAAATTATTTTTTTCAAGATACATATTATGTATATATTATCTGTCTATATAATAAAATATATTATGATATGTTACTGAAGAAGATGTGAATATTTACAGTTTTATAAATATGCATCAATTACGACAGCGACAGTTTTCAACTAAATTAACTATAGAAATTACTATTAAACTAAATATACCTGTTGTTAAGTTTTGCATGTTGGAAAAAGAGTTTACATTCTGATGGCTATGAGGACATAACATGTTTCCAACATGCCACATCCTGTGTGTCGACGCAAAGATGACAATCACTCCATCTCAAGATGTGCTGCGAGAGATCAACACAAATACGAAGAGAATATGATAAATAAATATGTTTCACAAGCAAGTACTACCGTACTACTGTTCATACAACTCAATTTCTAAGCTTCGCACCTAAGCACCTCGACTCAAACAATTTACAATGAAAATGTTATGGATATTGTGTGATATTATTCGTCACATTTTCTGCTTAAAAAATTTACAGTTTAATGCTGTGCACAAGCACTTGGGAATGTTCATAAGTAACACATGTTTAACTAGATATGTGGAAAAAGGCTTGAAAGTTATGTGTGAATTTTTATTATGAATATCCAAAAACTAAAGATTGAAAAAAGCCACCATATATTTGGCGTGCGTATATTATAATTATCGGACGTCCGTATATATTCGAAGTTCTCGGATGCCCGTATGTAGATATTCAGCGACCGTATATTTTTTAAATCCTTCCTTAAATTTTTTTTGGAACAAAATTCTTTATCGCACGGCACGAATTTGACAGATAGGTACTAGGCGAGAAAAAGTGTAAGATTTTTGCGTCACGACCCCCTTTTAATAGTGCAAGTGAGATGGAATAATATCAATCTCTCTCGCACTTTTCTTATCTTGCCATTAAAGAAGTATTATTTAAATGACGCTTCATTTTAATAGACGCTAGTAATTCATGTAATTGTATTTGTTAATCAATATAATACGTTTATCTATAATAATATACTACGAAAGGAACTTCATTGCAACCTAGTGTTCCACGATACTCACGCCTTTTAAAAGGCCGGTAACGCATCTGCAATTCCCCTGGTGTTGCAGTTGTTTCCATAAACCGCCCATGCGGCTGTAGTCACTTACCATCAAGTGAGCCGCATGCTCGTTTGCCCTCTCTCCTATAAAAAGATTGAGTTTATTAGTATTATGTCATATTATGGATTAACCTTCAAGCAGGTGCGCGTAGTCGAATCGACCACGCTTACTACATTTTTGTTCATATAATTATTACTTATCACATTTATTTCTCATTTCTAGTAGCCTGTCGCTATGTCATTGGAAGTAAAATAAAGAATAAACCGTCGCTCGGTTCGGTCGGCTCGGGGGGCTCCCCCACTCCACAGATCGCAATTGTTTTAGTGCCGGTGCAGTCGTCGAAAAGACTACACGCGCCTGTCGTCGAAAAGATTACGCGCGACGCTCAACGCGACATACCCTCGTTCATGCTCGTAGTAGTTCTTCGGCTATCATTCAATGTTATCGAATTAAGCTTGGATTTTTTAATATAAAATGAGTCGTGGACGGTTACCACAAAGTGCAATACTCGAGAAATTGCTAAGAGAAGACGAAGAAGAGAGTGAATCAGAGCTCAGCGACCAAGGCTCTGAAACTTCCGACCACATCGTTGCAGAGAAACCTCGATCTGCTGAGGAATCAAACTGCTCGGACTCAGAAAAAGATGATTTGCCACTTTTAGAAATAAGTAACTGTTTTACAGGGCGCGATAAAGTAACGTAGTGGCAAAAATCTAGCAATAACAGAGTGAGGCATCAAGTTCAAAATATTCTCACGAAAGATGCGGGCACTCGTAGGAATGGTGTGGGGGTGACAACATTTACGCAAGCCTGAAGTTTATTCATTTCAGAGAATGTTATTGAAAAAGTTGTTAGATATACCAACGAATTTATTCAAAAAAAAAGCGCCATCGTATAACAGAATACGTGACTGCAAACCGACAGATGCGGTGGAAATTTGAGCACTTTTCGGATTGTTGTACATAGCGGGATCCTTGAAGACATTACACGCCAATTTAGAAGATTTATATGCAAGTGATGGGACAGGTATACCTATTTTTCCTACTACTATGTCAGTGAAAAGAGTAAAATTTCTACTGAATTTGTTGCGGTTTGATGATGCTACTACGTGACAAGCTCGCCGTACTCTAGAAAGCTGCGCCAATAAGAGAAGTTTTAGATATGTTTACACAAAACTGTCTTTTGCCATATTCAGTGGGAGAGAACGTTGTAATCGATGAGATGATGGTTGGCTTTCGAGGAAAATGTCCTTTCCAACAGTACATGAAATCAAAGCCCGACAAATACGGAATCAAACTTTATCTACTAATAGATGCTGCTACGTTTTACGTCCTAAATATTGAACTTTATGCTGGCAAGCAGCCTGAAGGCCCATATCAGCTAAGTAATGCTGCGGCAGACGTCGTGAAGAGGCTAATTACACCAATTTCTGTAACTGGAAGAAACCTTACCATCGACAATTGGTATACCAGTGTGCCGCTGATAAACGATTTTGCCAAGGATTATAAGATTTCTGTTGTGGGTACCATGCGTAAAAACAAGAAAGAAATACCTACTTGCTTTATAGATAAAAACCGACCTTAATATTCAAGTCAATTTGGATTTTCAGATACAGCTAAACTTACTTGCCTAAAAAGAAAAGATCTGTAGTTCTTATATCATCACTTCATTGTGCTACAGAAATGAATGATGAAGAAGAATGATGAAAGTACAAATGAAAAGCGCAAACCCAGCATCGTTACTTTTTACAATAAAACAAAGGGGAGTGTCGATGAAGTCGATAAAAAAGCAAAAATGTATTCGATTTCAAGGAAGAATAATAGATGGCCATTGACACTCTTCTTTCGTCTTCTGGATATTGCAGGAATAAATAGTATGGTGATATTGAGGGTAAGTAATGTGACTCTACGGAAAAGGCGAATGTATTTACGGGTGTTAGGCACTGAATTGACAAAAAAGTACGTCCAAAGAAGATCAACGATGTTAGGCCTTCCAAGAAAACTAAAAAGAAACATAAGGAAGCATTGAATATGGAGGATAGTGCTGCTGATACAGAAACAGGTAGTTCCGACACATGCAGAGGAACCTGTAAAATATTTACAGCCAAAAAAAGTAGGCAATCAAAAACGCAATGTAAGTTATGAATGAAAAATATTTGCAGAAGTCATACAACATTTATTTGCAATCAATGTTATATGGACGAAGAAACTAATTCTGATAAAAACTAAACCAAAGTTAATTAATTTATATTCTTATTTTGTAATTTTTATTATTCGACTAGGTATATAAACTATTCTGAGGTATGTAGAAGGGTTTTGTGTTCCAAATTTTTGTTTTGATTCAAAGAATATTTGAGTTATGTTAATTAATTTAATAATTGTTTCTTTTTCATAATTTTAATTACTTTTTCTGACAAATCAGACTTTAAAAACAATGATAATATATCGGAGTACAAATAAATAATTAAATATTGAATAATTAGTGCTTTATTTCTCTTATTAGATGACTTGTTCACCTATGAAAACAATAAGATGGAGGCGGCTACTGACTGAAATTCATGGTTTAAAACGGGAGAGCATGCTTGAGCAGGGGTCAATTAGAAAAAAAGAATAATCACATATTAGTTACTTAGAAAATAGAAACTAACAGATAATTTAAATTACCATGAGTAAATCTCTATTCCCCGTGTGTGGTATATATATATATATATATATATATATATATATATATATATATATATATATGTTCATAAGATAACATAAAGATGTATGGGTATATTGTTATCAGATGTCCGTGTATAAATATTGCGACCGTATTTGTAGATGTCAAATGTTTGCCTAATTTATCTAAATCCTTCCATTACATTTATAGTTTATTAGTACAATATTTTAGAGGTTTTTAAATTAATAAAATAACATATAACTACAGGCCGTCGGTTTAACTGAGAGTTCACACTTTATTATTTAGGAAAGGTGGATAAGATACGTACGTAACTAAGAAGCGAACGCTTAATAATGGCAGTTGAAGAGGCGACCTAAAAGAGGTTACGATTACGAGACGATCTATTCTTTATATATTTGATAGTGATACATAGTGTGAAAAAAGTCCTAAATTCTGACATCCTCTTTTTAGTCCATTTTTCCTAAGTATTAATCAAAATAAATGTACTACGAGAACACTCATTTACTGTCCAAATTAAAATCAAACAAGGTAATATTTAATATTTGATATTGAATAACTACTCGACAATCGGAATAATATCAACATTGAGACGACCTTTAATTAAAAAAAATAATTTTGGTTTTCTTTTTTTTTCTTATTTTCAAAAGGTACCTACCACCTACACATTAGAATTTTTTCCTGCATCGTGGGTATTTCCTTCTGTATCGTAGTTTATGTACATAAATTTAACAACAACAAACATCCAGACCCGGAACAATTATTTATTTGTAGGTCATACAAATATTTGTTTCGTACAGGATTAGAAGTCTTGAACCATAACCTGATGTTTAAAAAAACTTTCTTGAAGAACAATTAATCGCTTAAGTTCACCCGGTTATTACAGTATATAGACTGGAAGGTGATCGATTTGGATACAGTAGCCAAGTTTTCAATTTTCATCAAGATATCACAGATTTTACTACATCCTTACCTTATTCTATTGATACTATTTCAAATAAATTTTTGTTAGAATAAATTGTAGTTATGTGTATAAAGATTTTATTGTTAATCGTGATAATGTTAAAGCAGCTTTGATATATCTTAAAACTAATAATCCTTGGTATCGTGATATTACAATTGATGAAAATAATTTACAATGTTTACCTAATAATGAGAGTGTTTTTCAACATATTATAGCAGGTCAAGAAAACAACAACTTTCATTTCATTAATTTAGATAGTAAAGATGATGATAAAAATACATTACATGATAATGTTTACGAATGTGGAGCCCCAACGGTGACTTTTCAATGTAATCCTAAAGCAGTGAATAGTGTACTGAACATTAAAGAAGCAAATGATGGATCTTGCATTTTACCTTGGCCTAGATTGCATTCTGTGCCAATTAATGAATTTACATGTGATGAATAAATTTGCAGAGCATTTCTAACTTTATTTCCTACTGGTAAAGGTAACTTTAGAGTTATAACTATGTACATTACTTCCTCAGACTTCTGTACAATGTACAGAAGTCTGAGGAGTACAATTTGCCACTACGTTTGGCATGTGTAGACTATGAGAAATCCTTTGATTCCGTCGAAATTTGGGCGGTGCTGCAGTCCCTTCAGCTGTGCCAAGTTGACGAATATGTTTATCTGGGACAAATAGTCCATCTAGGTAAATCCAACTTATGACCTTCGCTCAATCGACGGATTCAACTCGGCTGGGCAGCGTTCGGAAAATTACGGCACATCTTCTCGTCAGGTATACCTCAAAACTTGAAATCGAGATTGCACAAACAGTGTGTGTTGCCATGTCGATGGATGAAGGTGGCTCAGGACCGTACTTTGTGGCATTCTTTGGGGTAAGCTTATGTTCAGCAGTGGACATGTGAAGGGCTGTATTGATGATGATGATGAATAGATATTTCATTTTTAACAAATTATCTATAAACTTAATACTTACTGCAGTATCCTCCGCAAACAGGATAGTTTTGTTTGTTTGTTTGTTTTTGTTGTAGTCCGTGACGTTTGGGAGATTATTAATGTATATCTCTATATATAAAAATCAATTGCTGTCCGTTAGTCTCGCTAAAACTCAAAAACTGCTCGACCAACTTCTAGATAGCTTAGATTCACATTGATACCCGGTAGGTTGCTGTTGTTGAGATCCAGGAATCATCCCTGCGAAGCTGGGGCGGATCACAAGTCAGAAATAAAAAGGGACTTAACACACTTCTAGGACATTTAATTGAATGTTGTGTAGTATCATTTTGTCAGTTTCGGTATTGATTAAACTCCAAGTCATTTTAATTTTATTAGAAGCATTTTTAATTTTGTTACTTAACAACTTCCCTTTCCGCGAAACTGATAGAATAGTCAAACAATTGAACTGTTCATTTATGATTCACGGAACTGGGAAAGCGTTAAATGTTAGCGTTAAAAGACATGGCCGTAGAACACACTCTTTTAAGCATTTTTGAATATTTTTTTAGATATTCTCTAAATGAAACTTTATGATAATATTATGATCTTTTATTGTAAAGGTGACGACAGTACTGCCTACACTAGTTTTGCAACTCCTTGGAGATATTACTGAAGCTTCAATATTAATGTTTATAGAATCACAAAGTGTCTTAGTTCTTCAAGACCGGGGGGATTTTTGTATATAGACTTGTAGATAAAACTTAATAAAATAATAATGTCTTGCGAATTACTTTGTGTACGTATGGCATTTGATGCCTGCGCTTTTCGGATTGACTTATGATTGTGCACAAGAGCATGCCACGAAAATAAATCGATATTTTAATACATGAAGAGAAAACTTTATAGCCCTTATAAAGTGTATTGCGTGCCCGGAGATGTGTGAGTTTTTGCATAGTAAGAGTTCATATGGAGAAGGAACGCAACAAGCTAAAATTTATGTAATGTGATACAAATAGATCAATTTGTCAAGTTCTGGACTTGTACATGAGATAATCCAGGGTCACCTTTGTAGAACGCTCCAAAGAGTATGGTAATAGTTAGAAAGTACCCCTCAGAACCAAAGAGTATATAATCTCTACGTTTAGTCAGAACCATATTTAAGGTGGAAGCTCCAGAGTGACCCGCGAAATTCAAATTTTCTTACGTTTTTTGGACTTTGCAGGTCAGGGTAAGGTTGAATGTTTAACAAAATATGGTTCGCGACCGTAACGAGTATGTGTTTACAGAATTTGTATCATTAAAATCACCAATACAACCCTCCAAGTTCATATAATTCCTTTGAATGAGTTTTTCTGGAAATAAACATAGAATAGAATTATACGAATTTAGGGGGTTGTATTGATGATTATAATGATTATAATTCTGTAAATATATACTCGTCGCGGTGACTAAACTATGAACTCGTATATAACTCGTAGTTGGAAGATCACACACCGACTTGTCTGTGAAGTCACAAGGCTCCAACTAAAAACCAGCGCTGTATTTGCAGCATTATGCTGAGTTGGAGACCTATTTGATGTCACATTTTCACATTGATTTTTTTTTCTTTTTACTTTTTTGTTTGTTTGTTTGTTTCATTATTGTGTATGTACTGCTACTCAATTGTAAATGCGTAAGCAGTGTTAGACAGGTACATGCATTCTTTTCCCCTTGCTTTTGTTTATAATATATTTTTTAATGTGTGTAAAATATGTATATCAAATAAATAGTTCTTTCTATCTTTCTTTCTTTCACGGTCGCGAATGATATTTTACTAAACATACACCCTAAAACTGACCTACAAATTGCAAAAAACGTAAGAAAATTTGAATTTCGCGGGCCACCCTGGAGTTTTCACCTTAAGAGTGCTCAGAACAATTCTTTTTAAATGTTATTCATAAGAATTAAACAACTAAAATTTTATTAGATTTAGTTTCGTTACTAAATTACGCTTCTCTAA